GTTATACAGATAGCGCAAAATGAAGATCTAAACTAAAAGAGATCTAAAGGAAGATAACCCAATCAAAATTGTTACATATATTTTTTATTTTATATTTATTTTTATTTGTTTAATAATAATTAAATCAATAAATATTGAATTTTATTAAAAAATTATTTATTATTATTATCATTATTTTATTACAGATCATGAGATATTTTCTGTAACTGTTATTAGTAATATAATAAAACTGACTTTTAAACTTTGAATTAGCATTTTTAAAGTCTTATCAATATTTCTTGTATGAATTTATACATTATTTTTATTATTAATAAGAACTATTTCTTTATACTTAATGTATTATTTTATTCTCTAAAGATGTAAGCATTCATGAATAGTAAGGAGCTGGATTAAAAATAAAATACTCAAAAAACTTTAATATTTAATAAATTTATTTTTTATTTTTTAATGAAATACTTTTTTTGAAAAATCTAGTAATATGAAAAAGATCTAAAAACTGACAGTAATAAATGAGTATTTAACAAGAAAAATTAATTATATTTATAAGATAAGATGTATTCTATAATCAAAATTATTATTGAATAGTTTTATAATGCTTTTGAGAATTAGCATAAAACTAATATATTATAATATTAATAATGTAAAATTAATTAGAATTTGTCATTAAAAATTTAAGATACAAAAGATAATATAATCATATTTCTTTTCTCATATATTCAAATTTAATTGATTCTTTTTATTATTCTCACATGTTCAAATTTAAATAAATTAATTCTTTTTATTATTTAATTTTTTAATATTAATATATAAGGTATAAGCAAAACTTTAAATACAGATAATTTCTTTGTAATTTCTTTGTAATAATCTGTAAAGTACTTTATTTAGAAATATTTATTATTTCTTTAATCTAATTAAGATATTTTTTATTTCCATTATCAATCTATTTAAAAAATTGTTTATAAAAATAATGTTATATATATTATATTTTCTAAATTTTTACCTAAAAATGCTTACTTTAATTAAGATAATTCCTGAGACTTGATATTTATGATTTTTTTTAATATAATTAATAAGTATTTTAACTAGATTATCTTTAGTTTTAATAACTAGCATCTGCTTTAATGACTTAATAATTTGGTTTTTCCATCCTATAAAATATTAAATTTAATTATAAAAAAATATCTTAAAAATTCATGCCAATATAATAATATAACAACTTACAATAAAATAAGTTAATTTCTGAAATAATATTAATAGTAACAGCAAGTTTCTTTTCAAGTATTTCTTATTTAAATTACAAATTATTTTTTAAAATAAAAGTTTGGTAAATAAATAAGTGTGAATAAAAACAAACTTTTAGTTAACTTTTTTACCTCAGATTGAAAATTATTTATTAACATAACTTGACCTGTTATAAAATCTTGTATTATTATTATTAAAATTTTAAAACAAAAGTATAAAGAAATGGAATAGAAAAATTAGAAAAATAAGGAAAAAATTATTATTTATATGCTTAATTTAAATTGTTATGCAAATTATCAAAATTATAAGAATTTTTGAATGTATTTTCAAATTGAAATTTTTCATATTATTTCTCTTGTGATAAACTTTGAATACAATATATATTATTATGTATAAAAAGCATGAAGAAAGAGAAAATGATATTATTAAATCAGTCTTATATTGAAACTTTTTTTAATTAGTAATTACAATAATAATATATTACATGATATCAGAAAATTTGAATAATAAAAGCTTTTTTTTAAGATAAAGATTAATGAATATTTAATGTTAACCAGTCTGTCTTAATCAAATATTCTTCATTTATTATAAATCAGAACTAATACAAAAAAGAAATAATATAACAAAAGTTCATTTTCCTGTTTGATTTGTTACATATTGTATAATGGCAAAAAAATAAGAGTTATATACAAAAAAATAATAATTTTTATTAAATATATCTCAAATTTAGTATTATCATTATTATTAACATTATTATATCTCTGAGAATACATATACATACTAATATGTAGACAAAAGAAAATTTCTTAAAAAAAAAGATTTATATGAGTTTACATATTCTCAAAGATGAGTTTACATGAAGGAGAAAAATTATGTATAAAAAGATAGCTTTTTGGATGATTTATAAGTAGATAAATATTATATTTGAAACTAATGGCATCAACTTTTGATTCATGTATTATCTCTTTTTTCAGTCACTTCATATTTTATATTTATTTTTATATTATTTATCGCTTTTTTCTTTTAACTCGCGCCACCATACCTTGTCTATGTAATGCTCTACGTATAGTATTAACCTCCACACTAATTTTTTCATTGATTATTAATGATTTTTGTAGTTGAATCGCATTTGAACATTCATGTGTCATAATTCGCCGGACAAGAGTTCGTTCATCACGTATATTAAGTTTTCGCGGACGGCCCAATTTAGGTTTATTTTTAATACTATTTGTTTCTTCATATTTTTTTTAAGTCTTGTGATGGTCGTATGGTGAACTTTATAACGCGTGGCGATGTTACGGGCGTTATATCCCTCTTGAAGCAACGTAATTATTTGGGAACGTTGCTCTATAGTAAGCTGCATTGTGTTTTAATAAAAACTAAAAAAATATATATAAATATATTAGAGTATGGGGAAAATTTTTTAATTATGTTAGTTTTTAATTTATTATATAGAAAAAAAAGGTTTATTAATATTACTTTGCTCTTTTCAAAAGAGCAAAAAAAACGCACCAGTATTCAGGAGAAAAAAGACGACTTACGAATAATCGGTATGATTAACGTCCGTTCGTTTTTTATCCATGCCATGTGTATAGCTCGTGTTCAGTGTTGATTGGTAGGATCTATTTGTCAGTCGGCTCTCACATGGTTAAGAACTACACAAGTAATGATCGGCAATTTGAATGGTGCGTTATTTATGCGAGCCACTGTATATCACTATTTGCATGTTTGTCGAATCTTTCGTGATTGAGAATTGTGTGATTAAAGATCGACAATGCAAGTGGTGCGTTATTTTTGCATGCCACTGTAAGTAATGATAAACATACACTTCTCTCAAATCTATAAGGTCGACTTTATCATGTTTTTGAATATTTAATTATAGCCTCACCAAAAATGAATTCAGATTATGATTAATGATATTCCAACAAACACCACGCGAGATATATCCTGTGACCGATAACATTAACGTTAACGTTAAATATAACGCTAACCGCTACCGATAGAAATGCATTTGATCCCAAAACTTTGACATGATTGTTTATTATAGATGGAAAAATACAATCGATCTCTAAAACAACTCAATGAGTGAGTTCTGCGTTAAAGTTAGGACTAGAAAAAAATCCATATCGCTATTCACTACAAGAGTTTGCAAGATTTCACCTCTCTTCTTCAGATACTAGAATAGCATGTTCATATTTTTTTCAAAAAAATATGGACACGATATGCTTTTAAATTAAAATTTCAAAAATTTCATTAATAATATTTTATAATCAAAATTTGTAATGAATAAATTTAATTTTATTATAATTATATATATATCGATATATATATATTAATACAAATATATGTGGTAAAAAATTTTTACTAATAACAATAAGTTAATGCACAACATGATGCGATAAAACCAGCAGGGGCACCAGAGGCGCAGTTACATTGGTAGAGGCAGGCATTATGTACGACTGTATATACATTGGTACCGCCGAAATTACCACCGCCAAAGTTAATTTGAGGATTTGGCTCGGGCTCAGCTATCGGATTAGGTACTGCGTCGGATAAAGCGAAAAGAAAGATTGCGAGAATTAAAGCGACGAAGAGTTTTTTGAATGCCATGATATTTTTAGAATTAATTTTGATTTTTTTGTTTGTTAACGAAAATAAGCATGAAGACGGAGCTCTTCTTTTTATAAGAAACACTTGTTAATTGAAAATACTCGTAATAGAATATATGACAATGATACTGAATAAGAATAACAATCAAACTACAATGGAAATATACTTTATGATGAAACTCAACGAAAATATTCATCAATTCATACTGATACAAAAAATTCTCACGTTGGGAAATTTTACTAAAAAGGTAATTTCATTGAAAGCATTTTTTAAATGTTAAAAGTGGGTATAAACAAACAAACCATCTTTTAAAATTTTTATAAAGAAATTCTCATGTTGGGAAATTTTACTTAAGAGGTAATTTCATTGTATCGGGTATAAAATCAACATGACATTAATTTGTTAAAGTTCGTGGTTTTCTAAAAAATTCTATAATAAACTTGCAGTCTTTTTGCTTTTCCAAAATAGAATCTATTTATAATAAAAAAGGAATAGGTACCGGTACATTTTTCTATGTTCGTACATTGTATCTATAATTATACAAGTTTTGTTTTTGAAAATACATTTACCATTCACTTACTCTAAAAAAGTAATTTTGATAGTGGAAACATGAGAATATTGTGATAGATTTTATAATTTTTATACACATAATGTATTCAAACAACATAGACATTTTTTTATAAAATGACATCTCCACAAATTCTTATTCATTACTCTCCAACAACTCATACAAATAAACGCAACCATTTCTTATCATGATTCTTCAAAAACTCGTTTGGGTCTTTTCGATCTCTGCAATTTGCTTCTTTGCTACGTCTAACGCAATTCCAGTGTATGTCAAAGTCGAAAATAGCGGCGCTAAAGATGGTGGTGAAGAACCCGATGAAAGTAACTTTGGATTTGCTTGCATAGATAACACACTTTACTTTTACCCTTATCATCCTTACCCTTACCCTTACCCATATTGTCATTATCCTCCTTCTTTTCCACCTGAGGAACAAGAGAAACCGGGTTCCCAAATTTCTGTAAATTGAAGGAATTTCAATGTAAATAATTACCTCAAAATTTTTTTCTATTGTAATATAATTCCACAAGCAAATTCCGTCATTGGAGTTTCTCACATTGCTTGTATTTTTATCTGGTTTACATCATTAATAACTAAGGTATTTACTCTTATCTAATCTTTGACCGACAAATTTTCCATACTGTCTAAAACTGGATAAGCTAGCTTGATATGTTAGTTCTGTTTGACTTTGTCACTTTGTCAGATTGCCTATTTTTTTTTGACATTATCAGTTATGATGTCATTTATTCTCTGGCAGACTCTAAAGAGTGGCCGACAACTATTTACTCTCAACATATATTCGTACAAATCCATGTTATATTACCAATAAAAATGTATTGAATCCCATAATGTGCAACCAAAAGATGTACGCGTAACCTAACCATGTATTCTTAAGGAGTAAATCTAAAGAGTCGTAAACTTTTCAAGAAATATTTTTTGAAAGCATTTTCATCAAAATTTCGAGATACAAGCTATTTTTCGAAAATAAACGTTTTGAATTTTTCCATCACGCATTTATCTTGATATGGTTCGTCACTTTTTTTCTGTGCCTGGGGAAAAAAACAAGTGACGTTTAAGTATAACATTTAACGATAATTTAATACATGTACAATAATTACATGTATCGTAATTCCTTAATTTCCTTAATACATGTTGTTATTTTCGTAATGTACTAGATTTTTTAAACCTAAAAATCCAGTTATTCTAAAATTATTGATTATTGGTTCAAAATATGTGTGTTTATAACTTATTTTGCAGATTTTAGATGCCCAAAGTGAAGTTTGTTATATGTCATAAATATGTGGTTTAAAAATTATTCAATTTTCTGATTACACTATGATGCGAAAATTCTTATATTTCACATTCTTCCTCTAAAAGCGCCCTTACACATGGTTATTATTTTATTTATGATTACATTTTTCATATTCTTCTATGCACAAGATGCATTTAATATAGAATACATGTATCAGAAAACTATACATGTATATGCAAATACATGTAACGATAAATCTACATGCATATGTGCGTATAAAAAAATTCACGAGTTTGTATATGTAATTACTAAATATTTGATATTTACATGTATATAAAGGTTTTCAATATATAAATAAAGTGAATTAAATGAAAATAGTGCTTAACGATTTTTAAACTATACGCAATAAACAGCATTACACATTGTATGCTGTTCGGGTACGTGGAGATAAACTCTTTCAACTCATCTACAACCTCCGATCTACGAATAAATTTGACATTAGTTAATCGAACTTAACTGGTAAAATAATTAATACAATACCTATTCCTCGCTTATGAACTAGATACGACCTTTATCACCCGGCCCTCTAAATAAATCAACGGTAGTGAGTAATGCGTCATCATCGTCTGTCGCTAAGAAGAACGTTGTGATCACGAAGCGCTTTCGATTCGTTAATAATTGTATCCTATTCACCATAAATCCCATTGGGCTAAGGCACAAACAGGACACCGGAAACAGGGAAGAACGCTTTCACGGCCGAAACCGTAGCCACGAAGAGCTTTCAATTCTCAGATATTTTACCCCGATAGTACTTCGGATACAACAACGACTCGGCAAATAACCCAGCGAGAAACACGCACACCCTCGCTTCTTAAAACATCCTCCTTTATTTTAACGGAAAAATTCAAAACAAACGTTAATTTTTTCGCCATAGATGACTAAGCTTCTAAAAAATGACATTCCATCAAAAGTGATATATTTTATTATCTTGTCGAAGTAACATATTTTTATTCTTATCGAAGTGACACCTTCGGGCTTTTAAAAACAACAGAAATAAACTTGCGTACAAACTTTTCTCCAAGTAATAAACTACTTGTTAAAACTCCCTTCGTAAAGGCATTCGTCATTATAATTGTAATTATAGATTGGGTTAGGTTCTTTGTGCCAGAAAAGACAAAAGAATAAACATTTACCATTACTTATTTAGAGGTGTTGACATACGCGGGTGTATCTGGTGGTTTCCTTTTATAGTTCAATGTAAAAATGGACACGAAGAAAAGGTATTGTATTGATTATTTACCAGATTTATTAAGGTTGGGTCGATTAACCAGAAATCTGTGCCAGGTTTTGTCGATCATTAGTCGGATGTGGTGTCCGATCATCAGCCCGGATTATTAGTCGCACTAAATTTTGTATATATGTATTTATTGGCCAATCGTTTTTCAGCATAAAATTAAACACGAGAAATGGTAAGTGTTCATTAAGGTCATATTGAATAATGTATTGTTTGTGAGGTTAAGAACGTTTAAAGCGCCACTTAATGTCACGTTCTTGTCAAGGAATATTACCACAATAACTCGCTCAACACACTTCAAGCCAAAATAAGCAAATCTCACAATGGCTCGTGCAATATGACAGTGTGAGATAAAAAAACTGAAATTTTTTTATGAAATAAAAATATATATATTTTAATAATTAAGTCTAATCCAAATAATGTAAAATAAAATATGATTGTCAGATAAGTGATTATATTTTTCTTTTTTTTGTATTATTAACATTGAAATTTTTTTATTCTCTCTTCTCTTACTATTTTCAATTTTTTAAAAAACATTTAAATTATATCAATTAAAAATAGTATTTTTCTAAAAAGAAATTAATCATTATGCAATTCTATAATTATAAAATCAGAATATTCAGAATATTAAAGAAATTTATTAATGAACTGGAATTATTTTCATTATTATATATAATAATTTTATCAAGCTTTGAAAGACTAGAATAATTCAGCAGATAGAAAGAAGTAATTATCTGAAAAAATTATATCTAACAAATCTAGAGCATTAGTCTAATTCATCTATCAGTATTCTTCTATTTCAACAAGAACTTTATTAGAAAGATTATCTTTAATAAGATTAAATATGTCTTATAGAGCAATAAGCAGATATTTGGCTAATATTAAATATCAAAAAGATCTTTCAAGAATAATACTGATATTAATTGAAAATTATAAGCTTAAATAGATAGAATAGATCCAAAATCATCTTAATAAAGATTGGGATAATATCTTATTTACAAATGAAACTGTCTTTTAACTATTTCAAAATACTATAGAATACTGACATAAAGAAGAATAACTGGTATATCTTATATCTAAAGACCAAATAAAAATATTTGCATGAGAAGAACTTTATATAAAGAAAAAAACAAGCTTATTATTTTTTTAAAATAATAGATACTGAATTTTATATCAATATTTTTTGTAGATAGCTTCTAGAAATTGAAGCCTTATTAGAAGATGAATGACACTTTTAGCGAAATAATAATCCAAAACACATCAGCCAGCTTGCTAAAAACTTTCTTAAGAAAAATGTTTCTGAAATTATTGACTGGTTTTCTAATAGTTCAGACTTAAATCCAATAGAAAACCTTTGGAGTATTGTTAAAAAGGATCATGAAAAAAAATGCCAAAAATACTAATGATTTACATCATTTTATGATTCTAAAATGGAATGATATTCCAGAATCAATCTTAATTGGATTAGTAGGATTAATGAAACACAGATTATAGAAAATAATGGTGATACTAAAAAAAATATTAATAAATTAAGCTTCATAATTTATAAATTTTATAAAATTTGATTTATTTGTTGCATAATGTGCAATTAATAAATTTCGGTTTTTTTGTCCCACACTGTATATATATATTTTTTTTTATACATGTACTACTACTTCCTCTTGTATATATTTTATCCTGATTCCTTTTTTGTAGGTTTCTCTGTAAGAGTATCTGTGTATAGATGTTCATCTCAATACTAGAATTTTAATACTTTAATAAATAATGATTTAGTAACAGTGATAACATTTGATCCTCTCAAAATATATAGAATGGTAACAATATATCGCATTTTTGAATTATCGAATCTCTTAAACTAGAAATCCACTCAAATGCTGTTTATACCAGTCGAGTCATCACCAAAAAAAATCATTGATCACGCATGTCTTTATATTGAAAAAGTGACCTTTCATATTGCATGGTAAATTTATCTCATTGCTTTACGATGATTAAGTTAAAAAAGCGAAGATAAACCAAATGATTTACTTTGAGTTGAAAATAAATAAATACAAGAGGATTATATCTTGCAAAATGAACTTAAAAAGCATCGTTACATTGTTGCAAGCTAATAATTTTAATGATGTGAAGTTATGTTGAAATTACGCAAATTATAAAAGTGATAAACAATTCATGCAAAATGTTTTATAAAATATCTTTTCCTAAAGTTTCTTTTTTCTAAAGTTCAGTGGCTTTTACTTCGGAATCCAGATACAAATGAAAACTCGAGTTATTCGATGGATACTGTATTAGTTTCAATTGTTCTGATAAACATACCAAAATCCCAACGTTCTTGACATCTCCAACATTCCGGCATACGCAGCTTTTCGACACCCAAAATCCGAGATGCCACGAAGTTTGAATTTCGGAAAGTTTTACGTTTAAGCTCGATATTTATTTATAATTTTATAATTCTGTCATAACTCTTAAAGATATAATCATGCCAAAATTACAGTATATTAAAACCTTATCGATATATGTTTGCTAGCATCAGATCAGTGTTTTATTATATAATTTGAGCGTAGAATACTTGAAATTGGTCGTGATGTCGAATTTATGCAGCGTAATTTTTAGATTTTACGTGGCACCAATGCAGTGTTGTACACGGGACAGTCGGAACAAGAAAAAACGATAACAACTTAATTTGTATATATAGTTTTTCAAGCACAAGTAAAAAAAAAAACTTTGGACATTCAAAATGTACATGCACATACAGTACAGTACATGTAAATACCTTCTTTTTTAATCTTGCTGGTCCCAACAGACATAAAGGATGTTAATGTGCTAAATGAGAAAGCCATATACGCTAAAGCTTCGGATATTTATAGCTTTGAACAGGTGAACGATTTATTGAGAGGAATCATAATGCTCATCATGCATGTATAAAGGAATACCTACATATATATTAAACTATGTTTGAATGGTGTAAATTTACTAAGAGGCTTTATTAGCACACGGCTACAAATTATTGAATACTTTGCATTTTCAATACTATTACAGCTCTTTGAAATCGATATCCTATAATATGAAGAAGTTTAAAAAGATTATTGATTGTCTTAAATTAAAAGAAAAATGGAAGAACTTGATGAGCAGACGAAGTCGCAAAAAAGAATTCAAAATATACAAAAAACAACAACTTCACCCAAATACAATCGAATGTTTAGCACAAAATAAAGTTCAATTACAAATGATACAATACAGACACTTCAACAAGTATTTATGTATACCAAATGAATTTAAAATACAGCAAAAGACATCCATTCTTAAGCTAGTTTATGCGAACTATTTATTATAACTTGGATACAAATAGCTGTATAAAAAAATTCTTTTGTATTTCTTTAAGATTTCAAAAAATTGGCCTCAATATTAGCGATACAGGCTGACGTAAAAGTCCTTGCGCTTACCGAGACAAGCTACCAACTGCTTCCGATTTAACAAAAATAGTTAAAAGAAAAAAAAGACAATACCGAGACCAGCCCCAAAAAAACCTTTTGCGGGCCTTTTTGCATAATGCATGAAAATAATATCCATCGTAAACGTTTTACATTTTCTGTCAAAATTTAGTGCATGCTTCTATTTAACTTTCATTAACGGAAACCAAGAAATCATACAAATGAAATTTACACCAGTCGATTCTTTTACTTCAAAATTAATACGACAAAGTACTCACATTTATTTTTATATTCAAATATCATTTTGTATATTTATAGTTTCATGTAGGAAATAAATGATTTCTATTGCTTTTTTCGAATACACTATATCTTCAAGTTTTGGTCGATTAAATTTTTTTATTATATTTAAAAAAAGTTTATGCGTTCACTATCTGCTGATCTCACTTTTTATCTAGCGAAAAAGGGTGCCGCCCAACGTCCCGACACCCATCTTCCCGACAACCCAACATCCCGACAAAGCCACATACCCAACTTCCCATGCTAATGACTCGACTCAAATCGACCGACTCGTAAAGAATAATAAGTCGAATTTTTTTAGTCGGTCGACTAAGTCGATCATATTAAGCTTTTATGCACGTTATGCATAATTATTATATGTAAGATCGTCTATTATGTTCATCATTATTATCGTAATTGTTATTATTTAATATCTGATATAAAGTATATAAACTATATGCGTAATTTTATGATATACATTTATACACGTCATCACGTAGATTCCGATCCGCGTGATATTGGGCACGGGATCAGATCTCGTGATTAATGAAATTAGGTTAGTGAAGTTAGTATATGCAACCGGATGCAGCGATGCAAAGCCTCAGATTGATACATCGTTGGGGAAGATGGTCTGATATGGGTACGCCAATAAATCCCGAATATATGAAGGTGCAACAATAAGGCGCCGACTAATGAATCAAAACAAAAATGACTCATTAGTCTTGGCGACGCGGGATCGCGATGAGAATAGTGGGAGGAAATTTGATTATAAATAAGGAGGGCTTTATAGTAGAAGCGAGATAGAATTACAATTAAGAATTAAGTTCAATAGAACTATAAAAT